TTCCAGATTGGAGAGTCCGGCAAAAGTGCCGACTACAATGTGAGACAATTTGTTTCCGTCCAGTCGCAGTAGTTCCAGCTGAGACAGCTCCCGGAAAGTTCCCGGCTCGAGAGCGCTGATCTCGTTCTGTTGAAGATAGAGTCTCTTCAGACTGACCAAGTCGCGGAAGAGCGACCTGGAGACGCTTGTTATCCGATTGTCATTTAAGTAAAGATCCTCCAGCTTGTTCAATCCTCGAAAGGCACCGCTCGGCAATTCCTCTAGCCGATTGTAGTCCAAGTGAAGGCGACTCAGTTCGGTTAACCCGGCGAAGGAACCCGGCGCGACGCGAGAGATTTTATTGCTGTTGAGCCAAAGGTACAGCAATCCGGGATTAACATTCGAGAAGGATTCCGCCTCGATCGCTTCGATATCGTTGTGACCTAGGTAGAGCCACATCAGGCTCGACAAGCCGGCGAACGAGTCCTTCGGTATCGAATCGATCTTGTTGAAGATCAACGAGAGCGACTGCAGGTGTCCCAATTCCGCGAACAAGTGTCCCGATAACGGTACCACATTGCCGTCCAAATGGAGGCGCTCCAAGTTGGGCAAACCGCGGAAGGATTCCCTCTTCAGCACGGATATCCGGTTGCCTTGATTCAGATACAAGTGCGTCGCCGACACGTTCTTGAAGGCGTCCTCTCGAATCGCCAAGAGGTCCAGGTCGCTGAGGTCCAATCGGTCCTCGAAACGGCTTTGCGTAACTTCGACGAGGCCCCCCTTGTAGTGGCAAACGTTGTAACCATCGTTATCCCGGCAGGTCGGCTTCTTCACCTCCGACGAGGCCCTCGCCGAGAGAAACAGAATAACGACTTGCGAAAAGAACAGAAGAAACCGCGACATGGCGAGAGAGTTCGAATCAGTCGACGCGCCTAACCGAGTGACACGGACGCAACTGCAATTATTACGGATTTTGTATCTCGTGGAGAGTTAGCGATTAGATAGCGCAGCGTGACTTTTGACATTGATTATCGTCACTTGCTGAGAAACTAGTGTGACTGCATTCTCGGAAGCGGAGTCGATTACGAAATGTCAAAGTTGAAGATACAGGAGCTGTGTAGTTTTAATTCATGACGACAATAACGACACAAAGATCAACTGGCTGCCCGAACGCCATATCGCTACGGACGAATCGATTATTCGTTACATTATCACGGTTGATTTAATTGAGTTCAAATCATGTTATAACGTCGAATATAATAACGCATAAAGTTGCGATTAAAAATTTTATTTATTTATTTCTTATGTCGGGAAGCATTCAACGCTGAGAAGAAGATAACCAACCCTTGACCTCCTCAATTTTTATGTTACAGTACATCCCATTCACTAATATAAAATAGAGTAAACCTTTCCAATGCGCAATAGTTTATGAAACATTAATGTTTAAAATTTTTCCTGTCCGTAATTGTCACATACACAGTAACAAAAATACATTCCATGACAATTAATCTTCGGCCAATTTGTGCACTCTTGATTATAATCACAATCTGTACATGTTTTTGCAGAATATCTATCATAGAAACATTTAAAACACATTACTAATTTGCACATTTTATGAATGCGACTTCTTTGCATAAACATGGTTCATTTATTATTAATATTGAAAAAACATTTCAAACATTAATATTTCATAAATCATTGCGCATTGAACAGAGTTACTATACTCTGTACCGGTGAATGCATGAAATGTATTGTAATATATAAAAAACTTAGCAAAATTCAAGGGTTGATTGCACCTTGCGATATATAAATAATCCCTAAATTTTCGTAAAAACAGTGACATGTGGGAAGCCGCTGACCTCCTTGTCAATTTCGAAGTTGTTGCCATCGAAGTGGAGATATCGCAGTTTGACGAGATCAGCGAAAGTGCCATTGTCCACCGTGTGGATGCCATTGTCGGACAGCACGATGCCTTCCAGATTGGAAAGTCCGGCAAAAGTGCCGACTACAATGTGAGACAGTTTGTTTCCGCTCAGGTCTAGTAGTTTCAGCTGAGACAGATCCCTGAACGTATCCGGCTCGAGAGCGCTGATCTCGTTCTGCTGAAGATCGAGCCTTCTCAGACTGACCAAGTCGCGGAGGAGCGACCTGGAAACGCTCGTTATCCGATTGTCATTTAAGTAGAGATACCGCAGCTTGTTCAATCCTCGAAAGGTATCGCTCGGCAAGTCCTCTAGCCGATTGTAACCCAAGTGGAGTCTATTCAATTCGGTTAACCCGGCGAAGGCAACTGGCGCGACGCGAGAGATTTTATTCCTGTGGAGCCAAAGGCCCAGCAGTTTGGGATTAAGATTCGAGAAGGATTCCGCCTCGATCGCTTCGATATCGTTGAGACCTAGGTGGAGCTCAATCAGGCTTGACAAGCCGGCAAACGAGTCCTTCGGTATCGAATTGATCTTGTTGAAGTTCAACGACAGCGACCGCAAGTGTCCCAAATCCGCGAACAAGTACGCCGATAACGGTACTACATTGATATCCAAGTCGAGGCGCTCCAAGTTGGGCAAACCGCGGAAGGATTCCCTCGTCAGCAAGGATATCCGGTTGCCTTGATTTAGATCCAAGTGCGTCGCCGACACGTTTTTGAAGGCGTTCTCTCGAATCGCCAAGAGGTCCAGGTCCCTAAGGTCCAATCGGTCCTCGAAACGGCTTTGCGTAACTTCGACGAGGACCCCCTTGTAGTGACAAACGTTGTAACCAAGACGTTGTAACGTTGTAACGTTGCCGTTGTCCTGGCAGGTCGGCTCCTTCACCTCCGACGAGGCCCTCGCCGAAAGAAACAGAATAACGACTTGCGAAAAGAGCAGAAGAAACCGCGACATGGCAAGAGAGTTCGAATCAGTCGACGCGCCTAACCGAGTGACACGGACGCAACTGCGATTACGGGTCGTGGAGGAGAGTTATCTCGTATTTCGTGGAGAGTTAGCGATTAAATAGCGCAGCGTGACTTTTGACATTGATTATCGTCACTTCTGGTGAAACTATTGCGACTGCATTCTCGGAAGGGGAGTCGATCACGAAATGTCGAAGACGTTGAAGAAATAGGACGTGCATAGTTTTGATTCACGGACGATGACGATGATGATAATGCGAAAATAATTTTCTCGTGTTATTAAATGCTATACTTGACGTTTTCCCCCATCGACCTATACCGATTGAGCGGCTTTTTCGGACGAAATTGCAGAGCGCGAATCATCATAAATTGCGCAATCTGGCGCTAGCTTTAATCGTACGAGCAATCGAAGAGTCGAGAGACCCTCGCTGAAGGAGCAGATTAGCCGGGTGACCGAACGTGATATCGCCACGAACGATTCGTTTATTCGCCACATTAGCGCGGTCGATTTCATTGAGTTTCATGGAGTCGTCCCGGATTCCTGGCTCCAATCGATTTCTCTCCGTGGCCGCGTCGCGCGGACACAGCGTATTCCCGTAAAGCGGTTTACATCCCTTTGCGTTTTTGCAGAGACGAGAAGGAAAACAGACTTCCGAGCGTGAGGAGGATAAATGCTGGCACGAATCCATGTCGCGAGTCCACCGATCGAGTCCCTCTCCCGAGATTCGCGTCTCGCGAATCGGTGCGGGAACGTAAGAAATAGGAAACGGGCGCTGGGGAAGTTTCTATCCAGTCGTGGCAATATGCGGAAGAATCGTGCTCGCCGATTCACCGCGCCAATCGATACACGAAGAGCAGGTACGAAGAGGTTTGAAATGCTTTTTACGACGGTTTTCCATTTGCGGTTTCCGTGGTCGCGGACGAATCTCCATTGAGACACAATTGCGCGCTATGGAACATCTCTGACAGTCCAATATATTCAAATATGCATTTGGATTTATGCGCAGGCCTCCCCGGAGTGCCTCAAATACTCCATGGTACGTCTTGATGATGCGTGACAGTAATTAACTCGTTATTGATTGTACAAAATCTATTATATATTTCATCGCGTACACTTTTCCTAATTAT